CTTTTCGAGATTCAGCTCTAAAACCCTAACCAGCGCCATAGCCAAGCAAGGTTCCTGGGTGAGAGAGAGAGAGCGAACAAGAGAATCGTCGCTCCGATTTCCCGATTAGTCGTCGTTTCTCTTCAACAAGACTCTTAAGGTAAAACTCTGTCTTCGCTCTTTCGTAATACTCGGAAACCTCTTCGAGCAATGGCGTACTTCTTCACTCTTGTAGTTTACTTGATCAATTGGATTCTACACTGTTCTAGCCCTTAGATCGGTTCTCTGTAACTCGGATTTGTGTTTACCTTGTTTTGTTTCTTCGCAAGTATGCTATTAGCTTGTTGTGTTCGATTTCAATTGAATTTTGTATCCAGATCAGGGATCTCTCTTGTATCGCCAGTTTTTCTGGATTTTAAGATGGGAATTTACTGATCACGAGGTCTAACATAATGATTTGATGCTTGATTTTGTTTCCAGTATAAAGCTATGGCGATGTTAGGGGCACAGCAAGTTCCAACAGCAGCTTGTACTCCAGATATTGTATGATCCCAGTTCTTAGTTTGTGTTGTTTTTATGGAAGTTTCAATTTCGAAAAAGTACATTGTCATTTTTTGTGTGTTTATAGGTTGGAAATGCATTTGTGCATCAGTATTATCACATAATGCATCAATCTCCTGAGCACGTTCACAGATTTTACCAAGAGATTAGCAAGTTAGGCCGGCCTGAAGAGAATGGTGTAATGAGCATCACTTCTACCTTGCAAGTGAGTATACTACTTACTATTTTTTCAATCTGCACTTTTCATTGCACTTTGTGAAGTTCAATTTAACTCTCAAGTTAAAAACCGGATATTTTTGTGCCAATCTCTTGGAAACATTAAATTGTTCAATGGAAAGAGTTATGAGAGACTTGGAATTCTACTGAACACAAGTATGCATATATTTTGTGCAGGCTATTGACAAAAAGATACTGGCACTTAGTTATGGTGTAATCGGTGCGGAGATAGCAACTGTGGACACACAAGAATCTTATGGCGGCGGGGTTCTCGTACTGGTGACTGGGTATTTGACGGGAAGAGACAGTGTCAGGAGGACGTTTACTCAGACATTCTTGCTTGCTCCTCAGGAGACAGGATACTTTGTCTTGAATGATATGCTCAGATACATTGGTGAAGCCACAATCGCACATGGAAATCAGATTCCGGTGAATAACATCCTGGTTCCTGTCAACGCTTACCAGGGTGAGTTGAACTTAGCTTTTGTATTTGCCTCCTTCAAATTAATAAATTCTAAGTTGTTCTTTCCACGAGATCACCATTTTTATAACTGCTGTAAATCTTATTGTGCCTTAGATCCAACTGCTGCTCAAGACATTCCAGATGACCATGTTCAGGAGAAATATGTTCAAGAGAATCATGCTGTTGAGCAGTCCGATATGCTGTCCAGGAGCGTTAATGTGGCTGAAGTGTTCACTCCTTCTGAAGATGAACAAGTATCAGTCATAGAAGCTCCGGCGACTGAAATAGTTCATGAAGCTCCAATTGATGTGCATAAGGTTGAAGAATCTGATTCTAGGACTGGAGACGTTCCAAAGAGATCTTATGCATCCATTGTAAGTCACATGCATTTGGGTTGTGTAATGTCTCCTCTCTATCAAGCTGATGTGAGATGTTTGGATTCTCTGCCCTCAAGATTTGATGTCGTTGGTATATTTAATCGGGATATGTAGGTGAAGGTTATGAAAGAGAATGCTGTACCAATTTCTGCTTCAAGAACCCCAACAAAGGTGGAGCCAAAGAGACAAGAAGACCAAGCCATTCATGTCCCTCTACCAACACCGTTGTCTGAGAAATCAGATTCAGGAGCAAATGAAGCTGCAAACGGGAACGATCAAGATAATGAACGAGGTAAATGTTTTTTTGAGCTCATGTTGTTCTTTGTTTCTTAATGGTCAGCATGCTTAGCTGTTCTCATTTCTTGACTCACAACAGCTCTAGGTCCATCCATCTATCTAAAGGGTTTGCCCCTTGATGCAACACCAGCCTTGCTTGAGAATGAGTTCCAGAGGTTTGGACTTATTAGGACCAATGGAATTCAAGTAAGAAGCCAGAAGGTAAAAGAGTCCCATATTTATTATTGCTTAACAGTTGTGTTAATTACTAATGTGCACAGTAGTTAATTCTTCTGAGTATTGTACTCTACAGGGATTCTGTTTTGGTTTTGTTGAGTTTGAATCCGCAAGTTCCATGCAAAGCGCAATCGAGGTAATAACTAGCAATTTTTTCAAGGCCCTGATCATCCGGAGCTAACGGTTACTGATATGTATATTTTTGTGACTGTCAGGCATCACCTATAATACTCAATGGGCAGAAAGTAGTTGTGGAGGAAAAGCGATCTACCTCAAGAGGCAAGTTTTCTTTTTTTGTATACTGAGAGAAATAAAACTCTCATGAACTTATTAACACATTTTTTATTATCACTTGTTGTCGAAACAGGGAACTATAGAGGACGTTCGACATTTGGTGTAGGCAATGGCTATAGAAATGAAGGGGGAAGAGGTCGTGGGAGCTTTGGAGGTGGAAGAGGAGGCTACGGTCGGACAGACTTCAACGGATATGGTAATAACAGGGGAAACAATAGAGGAGGATATGCAAACCGAGCAAATGGTGACGGTGGTGGTTTCAGACGTGTAAGGCGTGGTGGCGGAATTGATGCTAACGGAGCTACTAAACCCGTGGATGCTCCCCGCGTGTCGATCACTGCGTAAATGTGCCTTTCAAGCAAAAGGCCCGAATTGTTTTAGAGAGTTTAGGCGTAGTAGAACTGAGACAAACAAAAAAACCATATTATTCTCTTTTCTCTGTGTCTTGCCATTTTATTAATTGGAGTAAAATTGAAGAGCCAGAGGGAAGTCATCGGTTCTTGGTTAAGCTCAGTGATTCTTAAAGGTTCAAGAGATGTAGCAAACTTTGTTCATCCAAGAGAAAATCTCTTAATAGAGAGACTTGAACACAAAAGAGCTGTTGACTTAGCCAAGGAGTTATGAATGTCACAGTTCGATGTGAAACGAGTTCCCAAGTAAATGATGTAACCATAATATATTTAAGCTTTGATATAGATTGTCATAGAATTACGACAGCTATGAACAAAATACAGTATTCTAAATACCCAAAAATATATATAAATAAACACACACAAACTAAGGTTAAAACTTCATAAGGCTGAATTAACAACATACAGTATGCTTTCAGATTTTGTTGATAAAGAAAAATTCATAGCTCAGAGGCCGAAATTGCAAGCCTGAACAAACTCCAGGTCGTAGTCAACGTGCTTGGTCCAAAGAGGTCGAAACTGGTTCATAGCTATATCTAGCCACGGCTTCATGTTACCGTTGAAGTGTACCACCGCAGCATTGCGGATCTCATCCATGCCAATGCTTGGATTGTAACCTAGACCAAGCACATGCCAGGATTTGTCCAGCGGCTTCGTGGTTGAGTAAAACGTGATCAGTCCCGGTGGTAACGTTCCCAGCTTCCACAGAGTCCTGTTCTCGTTCTGCAATTCAGATAAACACAACAAAGTCAAAAAACAATAACAATTTTGTCTCAATAGATGAATAAAATATCACAGAGAGAAACATTTTGTGAAATGATGAAAAAGTATCAAGAAGGTTACCAGATTTTGCCAGTAGTGGTATTCTTCTGTGCACTTCTCTCTCCTCCAAGCATCCAGATCAAAGAAGTTCATTCCATATGCCCACGCACAAGCTTTGGGATTAAACTTCTCTTTGATCAAAGGATGTGAGAAATTCATGTATTGAGCATACCGATGGAACGACCCAAAACAAGTCTCTATGGCTCCATTCACTTTCCCATCCATATCAATCTCCCAAAGCCCTGTTAAATCTTTCTGCACAACCACATCGTCGTCCAAGAAGAGTATCCTGTGTAGCTTCGGGTACATCTCGGGCAAATAGAACCTCAAGTGATTCAATATAGACAAATACTTAGGGTTCCTGAACTTCATATTCGTGGTATCCTTTGTTGCATTCTCGAGCTTATTCTCGAAATAGAACTTCTGCAGATTTGCAGACTCCAACTGCTTCAGCACGGGCACATACGAAGAGTTCAAAAACGTATAGTCCTCCACGGCTTTCACTTCTACATGGGCACCATTATACTCCTTCAGTTTAAACATAACCTGCATCGCCCCGAGATTCATCTTATCAGTCACGACGTGGAAGACATGCTTCCATGGCTCCTTGGCATTCTTCACAGCAGAGTTCACCACCACTGACGCTGCAATCACATTATCTGAAAATATAGCGTAATGGTAAAGATTTGGATCCTCGAGCTCCGGAGGTCTAGGCTTCCCTTCATCAGTATACTTCTCAGGGTGAGCAATCCTCTCCTCCATCAACCTCATCGCAAGGCAATGCAATCCCTTGGGAATCGATTTCGCAGCGATCAAGCTCGAGAACGCGCCTTGTTTCTTGGCATTGGTTAACTGTTCGTTAACCGCGAAAATGGTGTCTTTCAGCTTCTGTATCTTAAGCTGGTTATCAAACGACTCTTTGGCTTCAGCAATCACTTGCCGAGTCATTTTGATCCGCTCCTTCACTTCTTTCTCAAACTGCCTAAGCGTAGACTCTTCAATGGAAGCTCCATCGGAATCATACAGAGCTCGGTAGGTTGGTTTGTTGATCAGATCTGTGTAGTTCCTTGAAAGATCTGCGAAGATCCTTACGAGCTTCGAATTCTCGAGCTTAAGCTTCCTCGCGTAAGAAGCATAGGCCAGTGCCAATGACCGGTGGTCATCAGCTTGTTTCCGGATCTGGATCAACCGTGGCTTGAGCGGATCCGATTTGATATCCAATATGGATCTTCTGATGGATCCGACTCCATTTGAGTACCCAACACCCTAAAATCTCACACAACAGCAATTCGGAAATTAAACACGAATCTTAATTTAACGATTCCATTGGGGAACTGCTACAATTCAAATCCCGAATCGAATATGGAATGAGCTTTGAATACGTTTGTTCGGAGAGATCTGAGGAGAGAACTTACGGGAAGAAGGAGATCAGGAGAATCGTTAGACTCGGAAGCGAAGAGAAACGAGAGAGTGAAGAGGACGAGTGCGATAGTAGCAGCGAAAGCAGTGAGTCTGATTCTGACACCGAAGCCGGTGATCGCCGGAGATCCGCCGCCGCGTAAAAGTCGGTGGTGGTGATTAGCCATTTGCGCGAGCACTTGCACTTTAGAGTAGTTTCATACCAATTATAGGCTTATTAATGGAGTCTCGACTCTCTATCGTGTACTCTGCCAAAAATCTCAAAATGATTGCTAATGGAAAAATACATGTCGGTAACCATTTAGTATTCAACTTTTTTTTAATCTTAATTAAGCATTAATAACAGTCATATCAAAAGAGTTTTTTTATAGAAAGTTTTATTGAATTTTATATTCACATTTCCCCAATTAGTGTTTCTATACCAGATCAAAAAAAAAAAAAAAATTTTGTCAACATACCAGATCAAACATTTAATTATCAGAATATCTAAACACTTTTTTTCTTTCTTTTCGGTCTACTTCAGTTAAATTTATTTTACCATCGTCAATGAACCATGATCAATAACCACATTTGTTGCATTGTTATTTTTTTTTTCAATAATCACACTCTTTATTGCTTATACAAACAAGTTATAGTACAGCCAACCACAAACTGATGAATTTATTATGGTTTTAAGAGAGAGGCAAGACCGAAACATACATGAACAAGGAAAGACCGTGAAGATCAAAGCCAAATACATATTGCAAAATTTAGGCTCTAATAAGTTGTATATCTTTTAGTTCTTTAACCAAAAAAAAAATATACTTAATCATTTGGTTCCATTTTCCCTTGACATACCTATATGTAAATAATAAATATGCGAAGGTTTTGATATAACAATGGATGAGTCTTTTATCTGTTTAACAACAAAAAAAAAGGTGTAAGATCAAGTAAAGAGATGAAGAAACTTAAGCATACAAACTTGCCCAAATCTATAGAAACTACAAAAACATAACTATCTCTAATTACTTATAGATAGAGATGGACATCAACAATACAAAGCTCATTCATGTCCCTTCAAGCTTTCTTGGGATGCTTGTTGGCATTGTAAAACCGTCCAATGCCTTTGAAAGCCTTAGATAGCTTCAGAAGGTTAGGCCTCGCAATTCCCATATGCATCTTCCCTGTTGAGAACTTTAAAGCTTGTAAGCAACAAAGTTGCTGATGATCAATCCCA